TTTATTTAAATTAATTGATCAATTTATTATATATCAATAATTATATAAAAATATGACATTTAAAAACATTTAAACAACCAACTGGTAGAGTCTTAATTCAATTAATAATTTTTTGAAAATTATGTTTCTGTGATTGAAGACAAAAAAAATTAATTTAACAAAGTCTTTTCCAACATTGCATGATTTTGTATCTGAAAAAAAAAAGTTCATTTACTTTTGTACCCCAAAAGTTTTCAACAGAAAAATGTTTCTCAAAGGAACAAAAGAAAAAGAAGAAGGTAAAATGGTAATAATAACAGCTTGAATACATATGTGAAAACGATGCTCCATTTTCCCAACAGTTAAAATCCACTTTTAGCAGAGAATAACTAAGCATCCATGGCGGGATTCTCGTCTCTTTACTCTTTCACTGATCCAATGGTGACCCACAAAAGAAAATCACATTAACACAATCACAACCGTCAGATCAGCTGACCTCATCATCATTATCAAACACCATCAATATTGTAACATCCAAAAGTTCAGATCAGAAGTCAGAATATTTTTGCATCAGCCAATGTATAGGCTTTGTTTGACCACCCTTAAGTCGATGCATAGTACTAGATTACGGTTGTAATTGTGATTGTGGTCACGATTGTTATAATATCGTGGTTGTAGATATTACGGACATTATAGTATATTTTGTTTTTTTTAAATAACCGTAATTTTATGTTATGGTATCGCAATGATCTGATAAAATGTTACGATACTATTGTTACTCTGTGTTGCAGTAGTAATTTAATACTATGAGTTGAGTCGATGAGTCTAAAGTGGGACCTCTTGGGAAAACAAATGGGTCCCACACAACTGCTTCGTGCCACGTGTACATGGTTAGCCCCATTATAAGCCATACAATTCCCACAGGTTGACACTGCAGATTTTAGCCTTTTGCCCGCAAACCCTAACTGGTCCACCATTGGTACAGTCCACTACATTAAATTCAAACTACCCCCAGTAGTAATCTTATTCATAAGATTCCTCAGATCACACTCTCTTCTTCTTCTTCAGAACTTGTTCAAATTTCTAGGGTTTTTCCCTCTGATATTTTCTGTGTAGGATAAGGAGGAAGAAGAAATGGGTCACCATTCATGTTGTAACAAGCAGAAGGTGAAGAGAGGATTGTGGTCACCCGAGGAAGATGAGAAGCTCATCAACTACATTACAACCTATGGCCATGGATGCTGGAGCTCAGTCCCAAAACTTGCAGGTTTTGTACATTTCTTTTTTCTTTTTCTGTTGTTTTATGATCTAAATTACATTGGATTTTTCTATCCCTTTCTGGTTTTTTGCAGAACTACTACTACGTTTGATTCCTTGTTCTTTTTGTTTTGTGTTGATTTGATTGATAGTACAGACCTTCAAAGATGTGGAAAGAGTTGCAGATTAAGATGGATAAATTATCTGAGACCTGATCTAAAACGTGGGAGTTTCTCTCCACAGGAAGCAGCTCTCATCATTGAACTCCATAGTATTCTTGGCAATAGGTTCTCCAACTACGTATATGTATATGTATATGCGTGTGTATGTATATGTATGGGGTTTTGATTATTTTTTCAATGTGATCATCGGTTTTGAACAGATGGGCACAAATAGCGAAGCATTTACCGGGAAGAACAGATAATGAAGTGAAGAACTTTTGGAATTCGAGTATCAAGAAAAAGCTCATCTCCCATGAAAATGTTCCCAATTTGGCCTCTTTTGCTGCTGATGTTCATAATTCAAACCCTTCGGAGGAAGCGGATGCTGGTTTCATCTCTCTAAATGGAAACCCTAATTTGATTCTCAGTGCTCAACAAGACCGGCTCTATCTTTCTTCCCCCACAGCTCCACTGCTACAAAGTTTCGTTCATCACCATTCCGATTTCAAGCCGAACTCGAGTAGCTTTGACGTCGATTTGGTCAACCATCATTTCCCTATGCTCCCACCACTGCCGCTGCCGCCGCCTTCGAGCGCACCTTCCTTCGACGCTTCATGGACATTGCCTTTTGCACCTCAACTAGACCTCGATGATCAGCGAAATCAAGATGACGTCTTCGTTGGCGACAAGCTTATGAATCCGAACAACGGCTACGACGAAAACTCCTTAATGGCTCCTTCTCAGACAATCCTCGAAGGTAACATGATCTGCAACATCCCACATACGTCGGTTTCGCTAGAGAACAACATCAACCCACTCGTCTCGAGACTCTCCTCCTGTTTCCCGGTGCCTGGTTCCGCGGATTCGAACTACGCACACGAGATGCAGGTGGAGTACAATATCGATAACATCGTCACATCCATGCCTTCGTCGTCGTCCTTATCAACCTTATCCGGTGCCGGACAGTATTTGACAAACCCTAGTCTTCCATCGACCAGCTGGGAGCCTTAGTCGCGGTAGATTCATCACAGTCCCATGGTATTTTCTCTATAAAAGAAATCATTTTCTTGCTAGTATAATATATGTACGCATAAGATACATATAAATAAAGGTATGTAAAGAAAATCGAAACCTAAATGTTACTCATTCAGATATTCAGTGAGGGCTAATGCTACCTTGATGATGTTGCATAAATAAATACTATGTAGGTGATTAATTTCACATATTTCTCTTATATACCACTTCTCTCTCTCTCTCTATATATATATATATAGCTTTATCTTTCTAGTTTCTATCATAATCTGTAGGTGGAGGAGACATTAATACAACGGGGAAATACTTCATATTTATGCAATTTTATGTGGTTGATTTTGTTTTTTAGGAATGGCTGAGAATTCTGAAGATCAATGTGCGGACCATAACATATATAGTAACTGGTAATTATATCGACTTATTAAGGTCCATTGCATTCCAAGAATTAGTAAACTCCTAAAGGGTTTTACAACTTGCGTAGAATGATACACTACCAATATGTATTTCTAAACGTCATTTGATTTTTTTTTATAGTAAATATTAACCCATATATTATGTGTATAATGTCTACAGCATTTCAGAGCTTTTATATATCCTGTTGAGCTTGAAGAGTAGAAGGTAACGTGCGTTGATAGGTATTGTTCGACTCATATTTTACTTAAGGTTGTATATTATATTAATTTTTATGAAAATGCGTTTAATATATATTAGAAGTTAGTAATTTATAAAAATATTAAATAGAAGGGTTAATACAATTTTAAGTGCGTAAACTATACTTTAAATTGATTTTTGGTTTATAAAGAATTTTGGTTAGAAATAGGTGCCTAATGTTACAACCATTATCATTTTAGGTGCCTAGATCATAACCGCCGTTAAATTTAGTTGTTAAGTGACACATTCTGGTAATTTCAAAAATTAAAAAATTTACAAAAAAACCTAATTTATCTAAATTTACAAAAAAAAAAAAGAAGACAAATCCCTAAAATCATCCTTAAATCCCAACCCTAACCATTATTTATCCCTTGCCACCGACAGTCACCGACGCCAACATTGTCATTGCCATCTCCTTTTTCACCCGTTACTTTCTTTGTCGTCTATTGCATCGTCGAGCCATGTGGAGTCACGCAAAATCCTCATTTTCTTTGCCATTGTTGGGTTTAAATCGCGATTTAAGGTTCATTGGTGATTGTTCACCAGGTGGAGATGCGGTTGGGATTAAGTCGGTGGTAATGCGGTTGGGATTAAGTCCGTCAATAGTAACGGCGACGGCAAAGGGCGGCGATCGACGTGGGTATATGGATTAAAATTAGGTTTTTCAAAGTTTTGGATTTTTTTAAGACTTGAGAAAATTTTGGTTTTTTATAATTATAATATTAATTTTTTAAAAATAAAAAGTCCTAAAATTTTATATGCATTACGTGTATCACTTAACGGCCAAATTTAATAGTAGTTATAGCCCGAACACCTAAAATGTTAACGGTTGTAACGTTAGACACCTATTTTTAACGAAAAAATTTTTAGGCACCAAAAGTTAATTTAAGATATATTTTAGGCACTTAAAAGTGTATTAAGCCTAAATAAAATGTAAATTTTAGTTGTAAAATTTAAAAAGTGATTTTTATAACCATCTAACATCTGATTAACTGATCTATTAATCCTGATTCATGTACTTATAAAAACTCTTTATGTAACCAAAAAAAAACTTCTAACATCACTTAAGTAAGAGACCTAACATATCATCACTGGATCCATTAAAATTTTAATAAATATATAAAGATAAGTTTTTTTTAATAATAATAAATTATGTTTTACCGGTAAACAGTGAAATCCATATAATATGAGTGTATGAAGTTGTCAACAATTGTCTCTCGGATTTTCTCACCTTAAAATGTCTAAACAACCAATTTCTTCTCTTCTGAAAATGATAAATGTAAAAAACTAATGAAAACTAAAATTTAATTTAATTTAATTAATATTATTTTGTTTCAATTTCAAAAAAAATTAATATTAAAAGTTAATTCAATATATATATATAATTAAAAAAATGAACCAACTTACCTCACAGATTAAAGGAATCATTGTTGTTTCTAGAAGAACGTTAATTATTAAATAATTAATAATATTTATAAATTATCTTTATAACCACCTTAAATTAATCAATTATATATATATAATATTAAAAGAAACAACGTACAAGGTTGACATTATTTCAGGAAATCTGGACTGATACCATAGATTGATGTTATGACAGGCAGAGGTAGTAAACCGGAAGTATCCACGCATCTAGTAGGGGCCCTTTAGAGCATTTGTTATTGCCTCTTGGTCTTGGCAGTAAATAATTCACACAAATATGCAAATCTTCAAATCCCCAGTAATTTTTTTAAACAAAAATATTTAAATTTTCATTCAATTAATGGAATAATATTCAAATTCAAACAGATACTTCGTCTCTAATATTAATATCAGATATAAATATTTTAATATCTATATATTCATCTCCAAATATGCATATATTTGTTCAAAATAAATAAGGGACGGACGCAACATTTTATACTATAAAAAAACAACAATATTGCTTTAGGACAAGAAAAATTAAACACCATGTAAGAAATCAGACGAAATTACATGAAGACAAAATACAACAGTTTGTGGGAAGTACTAGGTCATGTAATTTTAGACCAAGCTATTTCCTTGTATTAACAAACAGCTACAACAAAAACAGACCCAAATTTATGATCTTTCAAACCCCTTGAAAAAAAATTGATGACTAAATTGCAATGCCTCTTGCAGTTGTATACAAATTTGACCGACTTATAAGAATTTAGGTTCTATTGCTCCACCATAAGCGCACCGGAGATCCAACCTGATGCGGCGGTTAAAATGTCCGACTCGATTTGTGGACAAAGCGATATAGGAGTTAATGCGACCTGTAATTTCATATTTTCAAGAGAACAAACGAATCAGCTGCTTATAGGAATCATTTTGTATTTGTATAGGCCGATTTCAACTTACGAATCCGTTTTCGAGGGCCTTGAAATCCAAATCCTCATCTGCTTCTTCCTCTTCTTTACTTATAAACTGCAAAATCCATAAATAATGCGTCTGACATGGGCATGTACGCTCAAATTATTTTTGAAAGTTTTTCCATACATTTGGAAGGTTATATCCCCATATACGTGTTCAGATATACGGAAACATAAAACGTTTAAAAAAGTAGATAATAAAGGATTTCTATTTCTCAGCTACACAACAACAAGGGCAATAATTTTGGTCTTTATGGAAATTAAGAACTATAGGTTTCTTAGTTGGAATTTTACATACCTCCAGCCGAAAGTACTTTTTCACTTTATTATCAGATTTAACAGCCCCAACTGACTCTACCTCCACATTCTGCCTCCGCATGGTAATGCGGCGAGCAGCACCCTAAAGAAAATATGCATGCATTATTGTGAGTGAATAGTGACAGATACCATACAGAGTGATTAATATAAAGAAATGATGCTAAATAACGGGAAAAATAAACTTACAGCAGCAGATGCATCTCGGCTAAGCTGTGCAAGTTGAAGCCCGAGACTTTGTTGATTAGACATGAAATGAGCAGCAGAAGAAGGATGCCGATTAGCTGAAACAGCAAGCCAATTTGGTGCAGATCTCCACATGCTTTGCTTGGTCAGTTTAAAACCCTGCCACATATGAACGTATACACAAAGAATATATGAAGGACGAAAGAAACGGTAGATGTAATCATCAGGTAAGAGTCATCCCAGTACAATGATGCTCAAGTCCAAAGGAAATAGCGTGTAAGGTCATATGCCTATTTGGACATAATACGAATTTAGATATATCATACTGAATCCTATACCTAAGACTGTACAGTTAAGTAAATATAATGTTGGGAACTTGGATTGTGTAAATATACTTCTCATATTACATACAACAACGAGGAAGCTTTGTCCCTGAGGTGATTTAAAGCTTTCGCAGAACAATGAAGTTTCCATTCAAGAGTTGGAATGCTGGATGTTTTCTACTTGCAGCTTCACAGTTTCCAAAATAATTTCAACCAGTAAATTGGTAGCAGATCTTTTAAAAGGGAAATTGCACCAAGGGGAACTTCTAATTGAACAATAAAGAGTATGGCCTGAAACTTCCTACCAAACTATATATTACCATGGTTCTTTCTAAGAATGTCAATTCCGTTAGAAGAAAGCATGATCCTTGCATGACAACCTTCATTAATGTGGGTTTTGGGAACATCCAATGATCCAACACATTGACATGATTTATACAGAATGAAACTTCACCACTCCATTATAATTTAGGAAGTAAACTATACTCTTACTCTGGTCTCTAAAACTAAGAAATTGAAGGAAGAGATAGAGAGTTTCCGAATGGGATATTATACATACAATTCCAAAATTGCCTCAATAATTTTAGTTTGGTATCCGTAGTACTATTGTAGTTCTGACACAAATTCATGCTATAATGAACAACTGGATATGAATCAATGGAACATATTAATTCCTATAAGAAAAAAGGAAAGATAATATCCATTAGCCCTAAATTTTAGCATCTCCTAATATTAGCATGAGGGCAGGACTAAAAACGAGAACTGTCTCAACATCCACCATAAGAAAATTATCATCAACTACAATCTTCGGTGTAATGTGATTTGCCCCAAAATGTTTAATATAAACAAGATTCCATGAAAGCATGTCAAGGAAGCAATGATACCCACATATTCAACTTAGGGTACGACCATAACTCAAAACAAAAACAGCATTATACTGTTTAAACATGATAGACATCCATATACATCACATCATTGTTATGAAAATCATATTTATTTATGTTGCTAAAATACGGAATGCAAACCTTGTTTGTTGAAGGAGAAGTGGGAATTTCTATTTTTAGAAAGCAACTTTTGGAGAAAACACCATTTTCGATGTCTCTGATGGCTGCAGTTACTAAAGGTAAACTAACAGCAACTGCATCCTTAAAATCACTTTCTTGGCTTTCTTCCCTCTTCCTGCGATAGTATCCAGCAGTTGAAAAAACATTCAATTATGAAGTGAGAAGAAAACAGGTAGAAACTAAACCCCCCATAAGCAAGGATTGCATGTCACCAGTTCAGTGATATCGACAAAGATGGTACACCACAAATTAATGCTTCTCTAGCGCCAGCAACAACACCAGAGTAAAACCTGGTATGCCACACATCACAGATACACTAAGCATCCAAATACAAGGAAAAAATGATTAATAGTAAAATAACAAGATAAAGCTACTATAGCACATCCATTAATCCATGCAAAGCTCATTAGAAGATGAAGATTCAACGGGAACCTTAAATGCATCATTTTATAATAATCAATCAAGCGGGTAGTAGTTTGATAAAGTCAAAGCAAACAGTAATCGTGCAAGCAAGTTCAAAGACTTACGTGTGATTACCACAGCTCGATCCCCGGTTAATTCCACTAATTACCTGGATATTTTACGAAAAAAATATAGTATAGTAGTCAGTCGATGTTCAAAACAAAAACGACACTTAAATTCCTTGACAACAAAATGAAAGCCATACCAACAGAGGCTTTGACCACGAGAACAATGCTCCAGACAATGCTAAGGATACACAATCTGCAGTAGTTCCTGAAGCAGAGAACCGTCATCAAAGCCGATTATTATCAAAATTAACTCAAACCAACATTAAATCCACGTAAACACAAGTTTGCAAACATATTTAAAAAATAAAATGTAACAAATTAAGGTCCTAAATGTTCATTCATAAAGCCAAATTTCATCATATAAATGATGGTTCTGACACTATATTTGGATCACTACAACAATATGGTTTCATATCCTAACTCAAAGAAAACTGAGATATTTAAAATTTGGTTGGAAATTGAATTAACATAAATGAAGAAAAAATCCAATCACACCTGAAACTTCATAAGCAGTGGCACCTTCAATTTCTGATGGAGTAACAATAATTGTTTCTCGGACGGTCACCGAATGACCCGAAACAGATTTATCCCTGGAGTAATCCATTCAGAAACTAATAAATCACAGCAAATTAGTAAATTCAATAGCCAAAATATGGCAGAAATTAAATGTATTCAGATTAGCCATCCAGATTACTAAAAAAAAAAAGCAGAACAAGCAAAGTATGATATAACCGACATTTCCAAATTTGAATCAAGCAGCAAACAAAACAAAAGAGTTAGTATGAAATGGAATAAAGTTTGCATAGTTGCCTATTCCAGTAATAAAGAAAAAAAATCGAGAGGACCCAGTTGAGAAATTGCAAAAAAAAAAAAAAAAAAACCAAAACAAAGAAGAAATCATAAAAAAATAGCGAAATTTAAGGAACGAAATGAAACCCACGATCGAGGGGCGCAAACATGGACATTGTAGAGGTCTGAGCCGACCAAAGCCTGAACGAGATAAACAAGGCCAAGGGAATCAATCCCTTCCCCGTTGGTAACCAAAACGACAGGCTTGGAGCTGTCGTTTTCATCACTGGCGGAAGTAGATGTCTCAGTAGAATCACCAACAGCTTCAGATTTTGGTTGCTCGTCTTTTTTGTCGTTCTCGGAGTTCCCTCCTTTTCTGCTAAGAAGAACTTCCTGGAGATTGTTAACCAAACCAGGGGGTAACACGTTTTTCTTCGTATTCATTTTTTTTAATTTAACAATACTGATGGAATCAAAACCCTAAAATAAGAATAGATTAGACAAATAGATTTGGTTCAGAAAACAGGGATGCACTATGGGTAGATAAATAAGATTCGTTGGATAGGCCGGCTCTAAAGAGAGACCGAGAAAAAGAGAGGAAATAAGGGAGATTTTATGAAATCAAATGGCTTTCAAGATTGAGAGAGGGAAAATTGGCAATAATAATCGAGGATTGTGGGAACTGGGAAAGAAGGAACTGGAAAGAAGGAACAGTGTTTTGCTTAGATGGAAGATGCAGTTTTTTTTTATGTACACCATTCTCACTCAATTTTAATTTAGGCTACATTATTAAAATAACACTATTTTAATTTTTTTTATTAAAATAATATCCAAAAAATTTAATTCTTAAAATGACATATACTTTTACCATACGGGACATGGTGTACGTCCGTATAGCATCTACGTGACAGCGTCTTTTGAAATGCTTTCTTTTAAGATTATACTTATTTATGTAATACGTCTAAAACGACATCATTGTTTAGAGAAATAACTCATAGATCTGTCACGTTAGTAAAGACAATTTTTTTTTAAGAAAGAGTCTTTCAAAAGATAATGTTACAAAGATAGACTTTCATCTTATGTGACAAAAATGAGTGTATTCTAAAAAATAATTTTTTTAATTAATCACTTAATATCTGATCTATTAACCGCTTAATTCAGATCGAGTACTACAAAGGCGAGGGCGACCCTCTCAACCCAGTTTGCACCATTCGCAAATGTCAGGATTCGAACCTCTGATATTGCTTAAGGGACCTAGTGTCTCATCCTACTAGATCAACTAGTTGTTGGTCTCTAAAAATAATTTTTTTATGTTATTAATAAAAAAAGAATAAAATGTATTGTTTTACTAATTATCCTTTAATTTCTATATAGATTTAATATTAAATTTTAAAGTATTTGTACGAACTAAATAATCTCAGTGGTTATTATTCTTAGAGGTTCGGGATTCAAACATCAATAATTGTAACTTATCTAAGCGTTTATTGTCAAATGTTTGAAATTTTTTAAAATATATACTACTACTTGTAATCATCTTATATTAATAAAAAAGTATTTTAAATTTTTTATTTATATTTTATTTAAAATATTAAATTAATAAGTTATTGATAGTGGGGCTATGTGAGACGTGATTTTTTTTATATATAAAATTATTGATTCTTTTACTTATTGTGATTCGAGAATGATCTTTTATTGATAGTTAGTTATGACAATATCAATATTAAAATATTCATAATTTATTTCTTTTTATTTTCTCTATTTTGATTTTCCAAAAAGTTGCTTAAAATAAAAAAAATTATCTAAAAGTTCAATTTCTAATGTTCAAATTTACTTTGACTGTCGAAATTAATTCTACTTATGTTGTATGTATTCTCAAAATAGTGTTTATTATTGTTTAAATTTTTAAACAAATGTCTTAAAAAAAATTAAATTAAAGAAAACTCTAAAATTTTAAAATAATAATTCTTTTTGTGTGAAAATTTTCAATTTTAGTGATAGTATATGAAATTATATTTCATGATGCTAGATCCATTTTATCTTGCCTTTAATTTAAACCACAATAATTGAATTGTTTTTAAAATATTTTTAATTATATAAATATATATTGTACTTTAATTGACTTTCAAGTCTACCACATGATGCGTTTCTTGGTTATGTGTACTTGGTATGAAGTGAAAGTCATGCCATTCGAATTAGTCTTGCCGATGGATGGAATGAGTGCTAGGATATGATCATATTTTGAAAATTTTAATTCATATTTATAAATTAATTTTTTTTATAATTTTTATTGATAATATAATTTGAGTTAATTGCACCATGTTTCTTCAAACTATGACCCTCGTTTCATAATGGTCCTTAAACTTTTAAATATTTCAATTTCATTCCCAAACTACGACTCTCATTCTAAATTAGTTCCCAAACTTTTGAATCCTCCATCCCTAAATCCATCCAAATATAATCAGTTTCAGCCATAGTTTAACCTATATTTTATTTTTTTCAAACATATAATAATATAATTTGGCCTAATTATTTTATTAACAAGTGATGTTATTAGTATATACGTATAATGTAGGATGAAATTGAAATGTTTAAAAAGTTTGGCGGATCAATTTAGAAGGAAGGTCATAGTTTTGGGATGAAAATGAAATGTTCAAAAGTTTGAAGAATAATTTAGAATATAGTCATAATTTAGGGATGAAATTAAAATGTTTAAAAATTTAGGGATTAATTTAAAACGAGTGTCATAATTGAACGACGTACGATGCAATTAACTCATATAATTTTATACTCCTTGAAATTTTATAATTATACATTTTTAAATTTTTAATCCTGCATTTATCTTTATTGTATCTTCAAAAGCTATACTAGGAAGGTTAAATATAAAAATCATATCAAAATTACATGTGCGACCTAGGTCGGTTTAGACTAATCAAAGCGAAACCTTAAAAACCCGGAAAAAAAGCAAGCATATGTGGTTTTGTACTTTGTATTATGAAACTACTTGCTACATTAATTGTTTAATTAATTACATTAAAATTATGTTTTTTGAATTATTGAATTATAGCCTTAACTGGGGCGTGGGGGGAGTTACTTGCATGACCCACAACTGCAAGCAAAACATAAGATATATATGGGGTAATGGGGTTCCACTCTTCGCGTTCCCTTTGAAAGGTGGGGGTGCCTTTTATGAATAGTTTAGCATAATATTTTTCTAAAAAATTATATATATATATATTTTATTGGATTTGGTTGGAAATGAAATAAACAAAACTGTTTTTTTTAAATACTAAAAATTATACATCAATATATTTTTATTAAATTTTATCATAGGTGTATAAATAAAAAAATTGTGTGAAAAATAGAAATTTTAAAAGATTGAATCAGCAAATAATCAAAAAATAAATTAAAAATATTTATATAAAAATTGGTTGACCACATGTTTAATTAAAATGGAGTCATCATTGTGTTGGTTGTATCTCAAAATCAATCTTAATTGTCGTGTTTGCATTGAACAAATGTGGAGTCTTTAGCAATCCTTCCGGTTGCTTGGATGTTGGGAAGGGCTGCATCATGTATATGTTAAACCCTTCACCAAGTAATCAATACTATATTAATGTGAAGTATAAATTAGTAGGTATATCACATATTGAAAATTTCCCTATATTATATTGTATTTTCTCATTTTTCTTCTTTAGTTAGTACTACTCGTCGAATCCATCGAGTACTAGTATTGTTATTTTCAGAAGTCTCAGATTCGAACAATTTCATTTGTTACGTATATGTAAGTTGTCAGTGATTACTACTCATCACGTGACCATAGTAATAAAAGAGTATTGTTTTCCTTAGAGGTCACAAGTTCAACACAGTTTTACCTGCGGGATTTGTGCAAGTTGTCAATAATTATTACTCATCAAGCGACTATAGTAATAAAATAGTATTGTTCTCCTTAAAAATCACAAGTTCAACACAATTTTATCTGCAGGATTTGTGTGAGTTTTCAATAGTTAAAAATATTTTAAATACTATCTAAACTACCCAAAATAATAATAATTATTATTACTACTCATCAAAAATATAATTTAATCATAGGCATCATCAAAAATATGAGCCTTAATTATTATTATTATTATAACTACTCCATCAACTTTAACTATACATGATTTGAAGTTGTTTCCTTTGGAGGATCTCAATTAATGTCAAATACATTAAATTAATAAGTTTTATTGTCCAAATTCTAGATAAATATAGAATATTAATAAGAATTTATTTGTGATGGCTTAATTGGGAAATTTCACTAAATTTATGGGTAATTTTGGTGTTAAATTAAACAATTGGGCTATAAAAGTTTACCATTTGAGCGTGTGAACGACCCATTTGGTTTTTATATCCTATGGGAAATGGATTCCCATGCACCCCTGGATCCTGGTTTCCCCCCTGATCCGCCCCCAACATGGTAGATTTTACCTATACCAATAATCATATATAATAAAATTATATTCATAAATAAATTATAAATATTTTCATAATATCAAAATAAAAAATTATTAGTAAAAGAACTAAGGTAAAACATATTGAAAAATAATAATTATTTTCAAATCTTGAGGCATATTATTTACAAAATTAAATTGAATTTTTAAATAATAAAATTATAATTTTATATTCTATTTTATGAGACAATTAGAATAGTATATATGTCTAAAGTAAATTATATGTAAATGTTGCTGACGAAAATGTGGTATCTTAAAACACTTTATACCAAATGAAAAGAGTATGAGGTTTAGAAAATATTTATAAGATAGAACCAATATGGTAGTCAATTTCTATTCTTTCTTTAAATAAACGATTTTACCTAAAAAATTTTGGATTTTTTTAAACATATTTTCATTTAAAAATTTTATTTTTGTCACCTCAATAGGAAAAGATAATGTTGGGTTTGATTTGTTCATTGGAGTAGTGTTACTGTTCGTGAATGATTGTTGTTATATATCCTATAAGATAGATATTTAACATTCTCGAGCACCAAAAAGATATGTAATACCTTAGACTAGTACGACAAAATTAACCGTTTAGAATGTCACACAAAACCATTGGAATGATTAACCAAAAATTTTCTTTACTTTCTCAATTTAAAACAATAATTTGAAAGTGTTCAAAACACAATAAGTCAACCACATTTTTAAAAAAAAAATTACATCAGCATCTCTCAATAATAATTCAAAACATACAAACCACCAATTATAATAAGTTACTACTTGATTATACAAAATAGGTTTACAAATATGCATGCCCTCTACAGATTCATTCGAGATGTACTCTGTACTAGTTTGATTTGGGTCACTGTTGGTAAAAAAGGGTCTTCTGGTTGCTCATCGACTAACACGTAAGGAAACAAATTCCAAACGCTGAGCTAACTAGCCCAGTGCCAAACTAACAACTAAGTCATACTAAAAGTGTTAATGACATGCTCAAGCTAACTGATAATAATACAATAGTGAGTATACTCGTATACTGCACTCTCTACTCTATGGTAGACATCATAGTGCGGTTGAGGATTCTACTTCTCGGAGCTCACACACCCCTCTAGTTTACCGAGGATGGTTGCCCGGGATCTCTGTATCGGTCAACCCCCTCAACTAGCCCACTCCTTGAATATCAGACCTTGCGCCCAAGTTAGTCAGCTTAAAGTGCCTTATGCACTACCTAAGGATATCTGAACTGATTCTATACTTCG